TTCATCCGTTCTATAACCAACCACATCCTACCGGTCACCTTACTATAACGACAGGTTTATCCGTTCTTTAACCAACCACATCCTACCAGACACCTTACTATAACGATAGGTTCATCCGTTCTATAACCAACAACCAAACGACAGGTTCATCCGTTCTATAACCAACCACCTACCGGTCACCTTACTATAACGACAGGTTCATTCGTTCTATAACCAACCACATCCTACCGGTCACCTTACTATAACGACAGGTTCATCCGTTCTATAACCAACCACATCCTACCCGAACACTTTACTATAACGACAGGTTCATCCGTTCTATAACCAACCACATCCTACCGGTCACCTTACTATAACGACAGGTTCATCCGTTCTATAACCAACCACATCCTACCCGGACACCTTACTATAACGACAGGTTCATCCGTTCTATAACCAACCACATCCTACCCGACACCTTACTATAACGACAGGTTCATCCGTTCTATAACCAACCACATCCTACCGGTCACCTTACTATAACGACAGGTTCATCCGTTCTATAACCAACCACATCCTACCGGACACCTTACTATAACGACAGGTTCATCCGTTCTATAACCAACCACATCCTACCGGTCACCTTACTATAACGACAGGTTCATCCGTTCTATAACCAACCACATCCTACCGGTCACCTTACTATAACGACAGGTTCATCCGTTCTATAACCAACCACATCCTACCGGTCACCTTACTATAACGACAGGTTCATCTGTTCTATAACCAACCACATCCTACCGGTCACCTTACTATAACGACAGGTTCATCCGTTCTATAACCAACAACATCCCACCCGGACACCTTACTATAACGACATGTTCATCCGTTCTATAACCAACAACATCCTACCAGACACCTTACTATAACGACAGGTTCATCCGTTCTATAACCAACCACATCCTACCCGGACACCTTACTATAACGACAGGTTCATCCGTTCTATAACCAACCACATCCTACCGGTCACCTTACTATAACGACAGGTTCATCCGTTCTATAACCAACCACATCCTACCGGTCACCTTACTATAACGACAGGTTCATCCGTTCTATAACCAACCACATCCTACCGGTCACCTTACTATAACGACAGGTTCATCCGTTCTATAACCAACCACATCCTACCGGTCACCTTACTTCATCCGTATAACCAACCAACATCCTACCGACCTTACACAGGTTCATCCGTTCTATAACCAACCACATAACCAAACCAACCACATCCTCCCGGTCACCTTACTATAACGACAGGTTCATCCGTTCTATAACCAACCACATCCTACCGGTCACCTTACTATAACGACAGGTTCATCCGTTCTATAACCAACCACATCCTACCGGTCACCTTACTATAACGACAGGTTCATCCGTTCTATAACCAACCACATCCTACCGGTCACCTTACTATAACGACATGTTCATCTGTTCTGTAACCAACCACATCCTACCGGTCACCTTACTATAACGACAGGTTCATCCGTTCTATAACCAACCACATCCTACCGGTCACCTTACTATAACGACAGGTTCATCCGTTCTATAACCAACCACATCCTACCGGTCACCTTACTATAACGACAGGTTCATCCGTTCTATAACCAACCACATCCTACCGGTCACCTTACTATAACGACAGGTTCATCCGTTCTATAACCAACCACAACATACCGGTCACCTTACTATAACGACAGGTTCATCCGTTTAATAACCAACCACATCCTACCGGTCACCTTACTATAACGACAGGTTCATCCGTTCTATAACCAACAACATCCTACCGGTCACCTTACTATAACGACAGGTTCATCCGTTCTATAACCAACCACATCCTACCGTTCACCTTACTATAACGACAGGTTCATCCGTTCTATAACCAACCACATCCTACCGGTCACCTTACTATAACGACAGGTTCATCCGTTCTATAACCAACCACATCCTACCGGTCACCTTACTATAACGACAGGTTCATCCGTTCTATAACCAACCACATCCTACCAGTCACCTTGCTATAACGACAAGTTCATCCGTTCTATAACCAACCACATCCTACCCGGACACCTTACTATAACGACAGGTTCATCCGTTCTATAACCAACAACATCCTACCGGTCACCTTACTATAACGACAGGTTCATCCGTTCTATAACCAACCACATCCTACCGGTCACCTTACTATAACGACAGGTTCATCCGTTCTATAACCAACAACATCCTACCGGTCACCTTACTATAACGACAGGTTCATCCGTTCTATAACCAACAACATCCTACCCGGACACCTTACTATAACGACAGGTTCATCCGTTCTATAACCAACAACATCCTCATCCGACAGGTTCATCCGTTCTATAACCAACAACATCCCACCCGGACACCTTACTATAACGACAGGTTCATCCGTTCTATAACCAACAACATCCTACCCGGACACCTTACTATAACGACAGGTTCATCCGTTCTATAACCAACAACATCCTACCGGTCACCTTACTATAACGACAGGTTCATCCGTTCTATAACCAACAACATCCTACCCGGACACCTTACTATAACGACAGGTTCATCCGTTCTATAACCAACAACATCCTACCCGGACACCTTACTATAACGACAGGTTCATCCGTTCTATAACCAACAACATCCTACCCGGACACCTTACTATAACGACAGGTTCATCCGTTCTATAACCAACAACATCCTACCAGACACCTTACTATAACGATAGGTTCATCCGTTCTATAACCAACAACATCCTACCGGTAACCAGGTTCATCCGTATAACGACAGGTTCATCCAGTTCATCCGTTCTATAACCAACCTTAACATCCTACCGGTCATGCGATATCAATCTAAAGGTAAGGAGGGGCATTCACCGGTGTCTTAGACTTTGCTTTTCTCGCTCAGGAGACAAATTTATTGCCTTCCATATTTAGAGGTTTGATTTTTAATTAAAACAAATTTTAGGCCATAACTAACTTGGTATGAATTACGGTAACCAGACAACCAAACACACGTACGCCTTCAACACTCCGCCAAAATGAATATTTTACCATTCGTGTGTTATATTGTAAACAACTCCCATGTTTCATGTTATCTCATCATGGTACCTGAAGAGACATCGATACAGAGGAATTATTCCACAAAATCGATAAAATATTTTTTAAGAGTATTTATATCCTAGAATACCAGGTATGTTATAGTCGAAAAGAAATCCCTATCTGAAATGAATTGAATAAACATTATCTCGCGACATTTTGCAGAAAAGAAATGCTTGATCTGGCAAAACCTAGATATATCACTGATCCCAATATGTGTGATAAATTGAAATAAAAAATATAAAAAAAGATAAAAAAAATATAAAAAAAGACAATATTTTAAACTGCACCAAATTAAAAGTAGCCTGGATATCAATCGATGTTCTTCTCAACGTGTGCAAATAAATGTAGGTTACAAAGGTCTATTTTCTGATATATTTACAATTGGCGCTGCTTGTACTAGATAACCTTTGCGGTGCATCACGGTCATCTTTTAATAAATAAGTCTACCACGTGACACTGTCTCGACATTTCGCGTGATATAAACCATTAAAGTCTATATAAAAAAACAGCCTTCATTTTTAATTGGAGACGGGAAAATTATTTTATTTTCATTAAAATTTCATATTTCAATAGAGTTAATTGCTATGGTGTTTACATATGCGAAAAATTTAATCAATCAATTGAAACTAGCGAACTACTTTTTTCACTCTCTTCGAAAAATGTCAATAGATTATCCATATAAAACTGCATATATAAATTACAACATAAAACATTGTCAGTGAAAGGATTACGGGACTTCAAGTTATGTAATCTACCTTTTCAGGTAAGGCAGACACTGGTATTATACCATGATAAGGATCTTGACCCTTCGTCACCTGGACGACTCGAGTCTCCCAAAGATCAGATCATGGATGAGTAGTTCATTTGATGAAAATAATGTAATTAATGAAAATATTAATAATGGAATAGCGTTCAGTGAAGCATTAATTCTGACCGTAATGAAACAAAAGCAACATATGAGAAAAATACTTACAGTAAATAAACAGGTATATAAGAGCATTGACGCATTTGCTTGTCCACAATTACTATAGCAACTGTGGAAAAGACTACAATTTGCACAAGCATAGTTTAGCTCCACACTTTCAGCGTGTAAAACGCTGAAATGATATTACCGCTTAAATATATATATGTTTACAGTATCGAAAGGGTATGATAAAAAAGTAACAAAAAAAAAGACACTTGTGTTTATTACTATCAAGGGCTTTATTTTGTATCCTCTATATTAAATGGGATTTCAAGTTAAAAAGCAGAAATTGTGTCATTAATTTGTGCAATGGAAATTCACAAATTACACTTTGTTGAATGACGGAACATCTCATAAGTGACACTGACTCTTTCGGTTTCTAAGCCATATATTTACAGGAATAAGCATTGTCTCTTTCATTTAAAAGACAGCTTAGTATTTATAAACCATCCCTTTTCTTTACCTAGTTTATTTGTAGGACACTTTCAAAATTACCCACTGTCCAGTTACACACTCTGTCTAGTTACATAGTCTAGTTCATTGTAGAGATATGACGTTATAAGTAACATATTATCGTTAGCACTTGTCACACAGTATTCTGTAATATGAACGTTGCCCCTAGAAATAAACACATATAAATGTAGGAAGTTTTAAATCAGATGTGAACCATCACAACAAAATAGGCTAGAACATGAAAAATGAGACATTGTAAAAATAAGATATTTTGTCTTAGCAGAGTATAAATATAAAATAAGTCTATTTTACAAAAATTGCGAAACAAGTTCATTTTAATCACTCTTGTTGCCCTGGTATTGACCTGCGAGGAGCCTCATTGTAGAAGGAAACCGGAGTGCTCCTCCAGTCTCCAATTTTTCAGTAAACATAACCTGTCTTTAAACACGCATCGTTTTAACATTGTTTGTCTTCTTCAATGTATCATCTTTAATTTTTCGTCGTAGAATTTTCCCGCTGGGTAATTTTGGAATTTCTGTTACGAATTCGAGGCCACCACGCAGTCTTTTAAATGGCGACACTCGATCTGAAAACCAAAAAGAATTTAAATTCATTTCCTGTGTGCTTTCCGTCACATTTTCCAACAGAAATCGGAAATGCAGCTTGTATAGTACTACAAGTGAATGATATTGGAAACTAATAGGTCATTAGGAGGGATTTCCATGACCATGATTGGATCACGCGATCACCATAAGAGAACCACAGAGACAGCAATGATGAGGATAATGATGCAAGGTTTCCACGGAATCCAAACTTAAATTCAATGAAACAGTAGGGCAAAGTATGAACAAAAGAAAGATTTACACGGACACTCCTGAAATGGTACAATGATAATAACCCCAGGTGTTCCGTAACAGTAAGCGTCTTCTGCTTCATCGAATTAACTACACACCATTGAAAATTACCATCTTGGACATCGCTGATCTTCTATTATAAAAAAAAAAAATCGGATGGAATTTGGTCCAAGAAATAATTTCTTTCATGCCTTACTGATTTGGTTTCGCTGAAACACCTCCAAAACTGAAGTATGTTTTATCATAGGATGTATATCTTTGTACCTGCTTGATTTGAACGAAATATTTACGTGGTTGAAATTCATACCATTTACATATTTGATGAGTTCTTCAGCAGAAATACGTGACCTGGAAACGACGTGCGCCCGAGGCACCTCGCCCATCTCATCACACGGTATTCCAACGATTGCCGCCTCCATAACAGCCGGATGTGACGTAAGAATTGATTCTAGATAGGTCGGCGAGATCTGAACAAACAAAGGCACATGAATTAATATATGGATCACATTTATGAAAAATGCTTTATTATAGTTAAGAGGATAGAAGAATTTTCTCATAAAAGAAACCTGTTGATTTCAATCGCGTCCTAATAACTTCCACTCACTGATATTGGTAACTATCTCAACGATGGGAGATAACTCTGTGTGTAAGAGTTTCCCGTCGATTTTCACAAGCCTACCTGGTAGCCTTTGTATTTGATGATGTCCTTCAATCTGTCAACCACGAAGTAGTGACCATCTTTGTCGAAATATCCAATGTCACCTAATGTCACAAATATGGACAAGGGAATCACAAATAAAGCAATGACGTCATTGAAGAAATGAAACAATAGACACAGAACTTAATATTGACGAGTTTGAATAAGCACCCGATGTTTCCTCTTCAGAAAAATAAACCAAACAGTATGTTATCAAGGAATGAACGTCAATATAGAGGATCTCGATACTGTTTACAGATGTTTGAATAAGCAATGAAGATCTCACAAGGCTGTCAATGCAAAACAGGTTGTATTTTTATAATATATATTGTCAAAGATGTTAAAAATATAAAAACTAACCTGTTTTTATCCAACCGTCAGCTGTTACGGTTTCCATGGTAGCATCTTCGTTGTTAAGATAACCTTTCATCACTTGTGGCCCCTTACACACGATCTCTCCAAATTCGTCAGCTCCCTTAATGTCACCCGTGTCCACACATACTATCTATAGAAATAGGCCCACTCGTATATCATTAATATCTTATTATTTCATGGCAATGCTGCCATATTTCGTCATTTGAGGTCAAAATCAGAATATTTTTTTAAACTACATATTATATTTTCGCCATTTTAGAGCAGGGACTAAAATATCATGAAAGTAGCAAGTCCTCAATTTTAATATTGACCACTTCAAATCTTGTAATTTCACCTCACGACGAAATCTACGGTAAATAGAAACTGCATGACTAGATATACCAGTCATATACATACTATATATTGAAATATATTTCTGACATTGAAATATTAGACAAAATCATCAACATACGTATTGAACTGAAACTTTTCGCATTATCGATCAATTTTCCTTTGTACACATATTTTTTGCGCAGAAGAATGGTAAAAAGAAGTTATTGGATTCTGAAAACTTCATGCGTTTGAAGAATCGCTAGATTTATCGAATTATGATAACCTTACTGTGGAGAATGTCCATACCTTGCATTGTGTGTTAGGGACGGGTTTTCCGATGGAACCATATTTCCAGCCATCCAGTGGATCTGTATGGGTTGCCCCCGTTGTTTCAGACATACCGTAACCTAAAATGTTATTCATAAGTACACTTTGTCTTGAAGAAAGTAAAACCTAATGACAGATGTGAAAATCAATTCATTTACATCAAGGTATGATAGTGATTGTGGTTTGTAGACAAACTACTAACTTTTCTCATATTACCCGCCTGTGAATTCGCCCGCGTACTACTTATGGAATGTGCCACGAGCTTTTTTCATTGGCTGCGCCAGTCAGAGATTGATTGTGAAGCAATAAGATGAACTGTAGTTGGCCCTGGTGGAATACCAGAAACCCAAAAATCCAAAGTATCCGAGAAAAACCCAAATTGTCCGACAGGTGACCCCCTTACTGTTTCAATATATTATTTTTTACATTGGAGCTGCACGTACCGAATGTACAGGGTCCAAGATTCAAATAAAGGCGGGAATACAGGCCATTTTCTTGTGATGGCAGAACATTTGTTACATTGCTGAAAACGGATGTTACCAACCATCCAACTAACCACCAACAAAGTATATTGATTCCACTTACATAGGTGAACAGCCAGTGGATCATCACTGACCAACTTTTATTTTAGGATTCCCCTATACATTCTATAGATGCCATATCTTATGATAACACACACTTTAAAACATTCAGCGACATATAAACGAAGATTGCTAGGTTCCAGATCGGCCACTTATACAGCGAACAACACATTCACCTTGTCTGATGCTCGTGACTTGGAGTCGCTCCGCCATTTGTTCCGTGAGAGCTCGTGACAGTGTGGCCGCTCCTGAATACGGGGTTTGGAGACTCGATAGATCGAACTTATCCACCAACGGATGCTTGGCAAAGAAGTTTACTAAAGGAGGCGCTATTAGAGAAAATGTTCCCTAAAAAGCATGATAATACTTTAAGATTCAGACTCTGTATTAAAATAATACTCACACTTTAGTGTTTCAGATGCATTTCAAAAATAACGGAAGAGAGTCACGTTGTAATGACGAACCGAAAAAAATAGAACGAGAAAAGCATTCCGGGACAGCAATATAACTTACACTGTAAAAACAAGTTATAAAGATTCAATTTTGTTTTAAAATGTGCATTTCCTTTTCGTTCTCCTACCCTGTAAGTCTCTATAGCTGATAAATAAGGCTCGGGTTCGAACCTCGGTAAAGTCACCACGCATGCGCCTTGCGACAGAGGATTCAGTAATCCTATCATCATCCCAGCTATGTGTACCATGGGTAACGGATTTATAGATACGTCACTTCCTGCAGTGAACGGAAGTATGGATTTGTGTCTGAAAAGAAAAGATCCTGATGGTATATTCGTTTGGAATAGTGACTTGAAAATATTTGGGTCTATGCAAAGAATTCTAAGTTTGAATTCTATTAGCTATTGGTGATATATGTTATAAAATAATGAAAAATTAGACTTCCGTAATTTTTATATCATTCTGTCAAACAAACTATACTACTGAATACAAACAATACAGCGACCACATGATGAAAGGACTGATAACTAATTTGCTAGTTTATCATAGCGATCAATAATTGTTGTAAACAATACAAAACAACTAAGGAACATTTCGACCGTTTGTTTCCGAAAAGTAAGGCACCTTAGTTGTGAGAGTTGAGACACCAGGTTATGGTGGGTGAGTTGCACTCCCTTGGGAAGACCTGTAGTCCCGCTAGAGTAAGGCATCAACGCTATATCTTGTTTTACGTTCACAGTCACTCTCTTCACCTGGTCGCCGACTGTCTGAAGTGTACTGAAAGGGCGACAACCCTCGGCGTTACCTATTACTATTATTTCCTGAAATTGAGATCGTATCATATTTAGTTTTAAAGCGCAATAAGAGAATATATCGTGAATCATTCTAATAAGTTGCTGGCAAGATATTTCAACATGATGTCTTATAAGTGAAACAAAGTGTCCGACCGGCCGCCATCTGAAACCAGCCACCCTACGATACAATCACTATATAGTCTTATAGTGTGTGTTGTCCGAGTGTTCATCGTAGACACGATGGAAAGCAACCGCTTCTTGGGTGATAAACAATGCACGCAATTGTTAAAAATGATAATTTTATAATTACTTTCAGATTATTTAGATTGCGTGGTGGAAAAAAATAGATAAAGTGGTAAGGCAATAAGCATGGGTCAACTTAACTAACTTATATATGACGTAACGAATAAAAAGGGAAGAAAAAAAAGAACAGAAAATTACAAATAAACAAATAAATCTATGAAAGACAATGAAAGGATGGAATAAACCGCTACATAAAATCTAAATAAAAAATACTTACATAAATATGTATACACAAAAATATAAATACCAGAGAATAAAATAAGTATATTCACTCGGATGTTAGGACAGAGTGTAGCAGCTCCTCTAGCTCTAGGTGCACAGTCGGGAGTTGTAACAATATAGCTTGTGTCAGTCTCCAACAGCTGGTGTGACAGTTCCACTGCAACATAAAGCTTCTTGTTAGTGAGGTCACATTATCCCGACAACTAATTATAAATTCTAAATAAAAGTTAATGTTTTGTAACGGTTAAAGTAACATTTAAACATTATTTTGCTATGCATCTTTATCCAAAAAAAAGATTTTATATTGTGACGTACCGGAAGTGAGTTGTGAGTTGGCAATGGTCAGGATTCCTCCCGCTGACGTAACACCACATAAGGTATGAATGAACTCTACTGCATTCGTGCCAAACAGACAAACGACCTCTGATTTGGTCAGTCCGATGCTTTGAAACCCTGTAGTAGTTCTAGATATTTGATCTTCAAGTTCACCAAAGGAGGTTTTACTTCCGGTTTTTCCATCGATCTGTATCATTAATTACGAGCAGAAAGGAACTTGATGAGTTTTTTCAGCATTTATGCAATTGAAAAGGTTTCAAAGGGAGGCCTTCTCTACCTACGTATTCGTTCCTTTTTAAAAATCCTTTTAAAACTATGCCATACATGTGTCAGTGCACTGTTAACGTATTCAAGGATTAAATCTTTCCGGTAGCTTTATTTAAGTATAAAATTCAGCATGGTATCGACAAAAAATCAACAGAAATACCGACATCTCAACAGAATCTTGATTCAAATTGGAATGAAAGATTGCTAGAAAGAAAAAAAACCTAAAAACACAAAACTGAACAAAATATTTACACGAACACTTATAAAAGTACAAAGAATGCAAGTTTTCATGTCTCTTTTAAAACTATTTACACTTTTATAACTTTCCTATAGTAGAAAATAATTCGAAGGACAAAACTATTATAGCATTAACCTTTCTGATACACTGTATCCTTAATAGAAAAAGAAAATGAAAAAAAAAACGAATAAATCAATAAAAAAGAAAAGAAAATGTTTCGAGAAATTCGACGAAGAATTGAATATAATATCTACATTACTAAACAATCGAAAACAATTTCTTAAAGAAAACAACTACAAGGTGCAAACTATTAAGGTGTATCAATATCACAGGAGCTACTGAATAGGTAGATTATTATAATATTGATTTAACATTTTTCTCCTTATACTCTAACATTTAATATACATGTAGTATTTGTTTGATAATTTCAATTTTCAAAAATACTTACAAGAGCTGTAAATTTTCCAAAATTGTGAAATCCTTGTATCAGGAATTCCGACACGGAGCAGTCGGGAATATCCACAAAGTATGGAGACTGATGAAAAAGTCTGATGTTATTTTTCAGCACAGAAACCCCAACAATACGAGAATTGCTAATTAATCTTCGCACAAAAGACGTCATATTTAGAGTCTTAATGCCCTGAAAAAATGACTTCAGAACTTAAAACTGGCAGGTGTCATCCATGTTGATTGTAGTCCTCATTTTAAGTTCATGACAAGTTTAACTTCTATAATGATATAATGATAAGACTGTATACGGTGACACATGCGAAGAGACGATTTTGCATTCTTATCGTTACATAATAATCCTTGGAGGACATCGGAGATAGCTTCGAGATTCTTAACTTATACAGAATAATATAATAGTCTTCACACCTGTGGTATAGCACTTAAGTCACACATGAGAGTTCAAGGCATGATTACTGACAGTTAACATTTCAGAGAATGCTTGATTATAGATAACAAGGGCTATAATTCCGACGGTTCAATTTCAGTATGTAACATGTTCCTCCAAATAGTGTATATGACCTTTCGTAATTGGATCTAATCCATCTGTGTATTAAATTGCTTTATAACATAAAGATAATGCAAATCAAATCTACTATTAATGAAGAGTTTAACAGTTAACTGAAATATTAGGTAGTCGGTGGAGAGCGTCAATGAAAGCTAACATTTTGTGGTATTATAGAAAAGCTACATTCAGGTGACGCTTGAACGTAAGAAGTGTTTAAAAAATGAATAATTGTGGTTACCAAGAACGAAGTTTATAACAACATCACCACTGGTCATACAGACAAATATCAAGCACATCTACTTCATATCGTGTAAGGAAAAGGAGTATTTCCAAATGAGATCATTATGGCCACTAAGATCTTGGAATCTCTCCCCGAAACCCGTGACTTCATGACACGGAAACTTAAAGGATCAATTTCTTCAATGTTCTAGGAGATTTTTTTTATTTACTTACTTATTTATTTCATCGGTGGCACTTTTCTTTTTTTAAGAAAATTTTTTACTTTACTGCAGACCTAAAACCTGTACGTGTTCTATTAAAAACAGAATATGTCGACATTAAAATATCATGCTCGTGTGTGTGACGTACTAATGTCACTATCTGAACAATATTTTTGTATGTTTTGAGGGTATGTCCTTATACCCTGGTACAATACAAGCCGCATTATACCACTCGCTTAGAAAAATAAGCTTTTTAGTTTTAATATAACCTTTTAAGATTTTTAGCATTTGCCTTTTATCTTTTAGTTTGTTTGATGTTATGTCCTTTTTGGTGTTTCAACAGTTGATGACCCTTATGACCTTTTTATGTTGATGGGCTGTTTAGATTGTAATAATAGTAATAATTTTACTTCTATAAGTTAAAGTGTACCCTGAGAGTAATTTTATATTTAGATATAATGTTAAGAATGCCGTAAAAATAATAATAACGAAAATCCCGTCAAAATCCGTCGCCCCAGTGTCGAGTTATTAAAGCTCAAAGTTGTCGATTTTCACCTGTCCGCCAAGACCTAATCAGCCGAATCGTCATTTCCGCGGAATCGAGGCTCTTCTACTCGTGACGTCATAAGTTCAACAGAAATGGCAGCCAACATGACCGACAGTGACAACGACACCGCATCTGATAGCGATTTAAACATGAGTTTTGAGGAGTCTGATTATAGTGTGGATGATATTTCTGAAGACGGAATCCAGCCCTACGGATTTGAACTGGAATTACAAGACGATGTATCCAGTGAGGAGGAAAATGACCCTTCGAAAAGTGACGATCGCTTGGGCAACATAGATTGGCACGTACTTCACTGGGTCTTAAAAGTAGTCGTGAAAGTAGTCGAACAGTGAATCGTCGTTTCAAATAAACAAAATAAAATCAGGTTTGGTTTTGGACTAATTTTACTATCTTCAAGTCTCGATCAACAATTTCTGACGTCGGGAAATCGCGTTTGTGCAAGACTATGCATACATTCACGAGGTGTCGGGAATTTTCGTACCGAAGAAGTTTCGTCCGAGGGGAATTTTCTTTCCAGGGAATTTTCGTAGCACTATGGATATATATAGATAGGGTGTCAACAACCAATTATAACACCCTCCGCTGTGTTGACAATAAAAATTTGATGTTTTAGAAGTTTATACAATTAATTGACTGGTTTTTACCCTAGCACTGGTACGCGTCTGTTGTTAGCCGACAGGCGTGTCGCCTCACAGGTGTCACAGTTGTTTTTTCCAGCTACAGAGGTGCTAATTACCTAACCTGGCACAGGTGTGATTATGAGTTTAGATGACATCTCTACACTGTGAACTGTGTTTAAAAATCAAGATTGGTGATCTTATTGTTATTGTTACGATCGCAAAATGGCTAACTAAACAACATCGTCTGCTGGAAGATCTAAAAACCAAGTAAACCTTATACAAACAACATTCACACATAACCTATTCTATAAATTCTAGTAATTCTATTCTATACTATATAGTAGTAGTATGAAAATTCTCGGGATGAAAATTCCCGTGACCCATTCACGACTAGGCCTTCTCCGTGTATTAGGCGTTCACGATTACGAAGGAATAATATTCCAAAGACCGCCCAAGTCATAGGCTAGCCTATCAATTTAAAATGTTTAGTTGTAGAATTAATAACAAAATATCAACCTAACAAATATACTTTTATTTAATCAACAATCAGTTTTATTTATCGACGTCATGCATCGACACCCCATCTGTGTTAGTGTTAGGACAACCATACACACTGCTTCCCTCCTCGATAGGAAGCCATTTTAGCGGATTTAAGCGCTAATTCACCGACCCCTCGTTCACTACCTTAGATATTGCGAAGATGTGAAGTACTTTCACGTAAATAAACAAAGAAATTACCACGGAAAATCCCAAAATAGATCACAATCACATGTAGCACAGTAAAGACAATATGGCTGCATCAACAAAAGCGTTGAACTTATGACGTCACAGGTTTGGGTGCCCGAAAACGAGGTAAACGCCTCTCAGCCAAAGGTGTGTTTTTCAGAAAAGTCGCAATTTCTCAGTAACGGAACATTCCACGGCATTCGCGTTTTCGGCATAGTGTATTTTATGTGCAGAACTATTTTGCAAGGTCAACATAGCTGACCTCTCAGGGTACACTTTAAGACCAGTAAGCCAGATATTCCCGGGTTCGAGTCCTGGCGGAGGTGATGAAATGGATACTTACATCTGTTACATAAAGATGACGTAAACGATGAATAATTTATTGATTAGTAAAGAGCATGTGAATGCATTTTCAATACCTCTAAAACAGATTGTTCTCAAATCACGAAATTTTATCGACGGTCACTTCATTACAACAACTCTACCTTTGATGTTAAACCGATCACACATCTGGTGCACAAACTTCATCTATTTACAGAATGAGAACATATTGATCTAATTATAGCTCTCACGTTGCAGTTTGCTGCTCTGGTAACTCACCCGCGAGGAAGATACGTTATGTTATATAGGGACAGTGATAACAATTTACAATATGTGATTGATGAATTTCAGCAACCCATCCCGTCTGCTTCTTTAATCAAGCTTGTTAACATGATTGCACTTCCGGTTAAGACAAAAAACAACAACAACAACAACAACAACAACAACAACAACAACAACAACAACAACAACAACAACAACAACAACAACAACCAAACAAACAAAAAATAACTCCATCTATAGTATAGGGACCTAGGTACATGTAATTCAGTCTAAATGTCGATGATTGTTGTGGCATGTAACTGCTAAAATGTAAGGCTAGAGGTTAATGAAACAGCTTTGTAAAAAACCAAAACAAGAAGATAAAGATATTGTTTTAAACAGTAAAATATTTGTGCTTAGACGTAAAAGAAGAATAAGACAAAGTGGTAATAAAGAGTAAGCGTCACCTAAACCATCGACGACACCCGCCATGTAAGTTTGGTCAATCCAAATAAGAAATGTCACTTTACCAAACGTTTACGTCATCCTTTATATTTAAATTGTATAAAAGACTCCTAGATACTCTTCACGATCAGTATATATGTCCGGTCTACTTGGTATAGTATATTTAGAAGGCCTTCAGCAATCTTTTACAGCATGCTGTTTTTTAGCGATATTTCCAATGTAGAACCAAAGACATTTTATTTCAAATATACTGGCCATATGTTTGTGCAATTTCCGAGACAATTTCAGCGGAGACACAGAAAGTCCATTCAAGTTGACATGCATTCATATTAGAACATTATATTATTTCTATTAAAAAAAATACAGACTAACAAAACATCCGTGCATCACATATGTTATCCCGTGAACCTGATTTAACAGTACTGCAATGGCAAAAGTATTTACAATGAAAAGTGTAAATAGCGACAAGTGTCCTTAGACTTGACCTACACCAAGGGTAAAGCGAAGACTGGCGATTGAGCAAACTTGGGGTTATCCAAGTACAGTTCCATTTGTCTCTCTTTAAGATCAAACAGGGCGGTAGCTACAGTCTTCCCAATGTCCGTGGCACTAGGTGTGCGGTAAATGGGATATTCGGCATTCTGTGTGTCTCCTAAGATTGTTTTCACTTCCTGTGCTGTAGAGGGCGCTTTAAACTCTAAGATACGTTTCATACGGGCTATGGTGGATGAAAGGTTATCCATTTCTTCGACATGCAGGTGTTTGTAGTTGTTGGTATGTACATAACTAGGCGAATCACATTCATTGGTTTGTTCATGGAAAGTATGCAGATGGACCATGCTTTCATTTTTGCCGGGCCCTATTTCCAGCCCCCACATATCTTGAGGGTTTTTCCAGTTCCCGATATTCAGGTTGAACCCAACAGCACATCCGCCACCCACGTTCTTGCCAATTTCCAGTGCATGGTCAGCAGTCGTGGCAGCCATCATACATCTGTTCAAGAAATATCTGGGAGTCGCTCCTAATAGAGCAGTTTTAGGATAAAGTCCGTTACAGGCAAAAATCATACCATGCTTATTAAAAGCGAAAGTATTGCCTGGCAAACTGCCAGGATACGAGAATGCTGTAAACTTTTCTTCAGTAGAGTCTTCTATGATATGAGCACTGACCATGAAGCCGAAGTTTTTTGACTCTGGGTCGCAATCTTCATTATGCGCTATCAGTTTTACTGCCGGAGTGTTGACCATAATGTCAGAACATCCCAGGTTATCAGATTCAGGGGGCCAACTTTTCATTTCATTAAAGTGACAATTATAAACTTCTTTTGCAATATTAAGTATGAAAATATCTTCAAATGACATTCCCACTCCATCGGCCAGTCCTTGTATCTCACGGATCAGCTTGGGAAAGTTGTCACGTGCCCCTCGTAGGTAAACTTCTGCTATTTCTCGTCCTCGCCTCTGCGAGTAAAACGGAAGTAATTTTTCCTGTACAAGCAGCGACCTTTGATAAAATGACTTTATCCTGTTTTGAAACGTTGAACCAGTATGGTATCCGACATCGTAGTAATTCCCTCGAACGTGTAGAATCGGCAAGGAAACAGCAGATGAGCTCGCCATGTTATCAGATCTTCTGGTAAAGAAATATATATATGTATATGATTTCAAAATTTCTCTGTAAAACATCACTCGATCTATTATGTATATTTGCTAGTTTTATCTTCAAAGATTAATTTTAACAATGTGTTTCATATTATTGAAAGTAACACAAATTGTGCTCTGGATAAACTCCAAAAGTATAAACCATTTTCATGTTATGCATCAACAATATACAAAATTATGAAATATTTTAATAATTTAGTCACAGGCTGCAATATTTTTGATTAATATATTTAATATCACAATTGCAATATTTTTGATATCTATAATTAGCTCTTATTCTTCAAATAAGTTCATACAATGCCGCATTGGCCAATCAAATGTAATGTTAAAAAAATGACTTCGATTTTTTGTTTATGTTATGGGGAGATAACATGAAAAAGGCCAATGGAAATTTTCGTGGAGGATTAAATCATGAAATTTATTAACACGTGCCTACATTTCAATTAACAGTGACTGATCTTATATTCGAAATGCATGAAGTAGAAGTCCATATTTGAAATAATACATTAATCTTTAATGTTCTCTTCACAACATTTGTGCAGTTGGCTTTTTTTTATACAGTATGATTTAAAACCGTTGATTGGAAATTTATCCTATCATCTCATTTTCTTTTATAAAATAGAAAATTCATGATCGCCTTTCCATACGTTCTGATTTTGCATCGTTTGTTCTACAATATTATTGAAATGGAATTAATGCGACATCAGTAGCAAAATGTAGATAAATGTTTCTATTGCACATTCATGTTGAATATGTCCCTATTTGATTTTAAAATGGTGTTATTCATATCCTAAATGGATAAAAATTGCGACCGCCATCGCGAAATATGTCTTACAGAAAATAAATACGTCCTAAAACAGTATATAGAATATACATGTCAATAGAAGATTAATTCAAACTCAAAATTGGTGATACCAGATAAATATAAGCACCAGGATAAGATCATTCTGAAGGGAATGTACCTTTTGCCTGACCGAAAACACCCATAATATAAATCATTGGTCGACTATGTACATGTGTAAAGTTTCGCCTAGGTATGAAACTTTATGTACTTTAAAGGAATGCGTTCACCGAGAAATATCTAGTGTGTCTTGTAACACATTTATAGCTAACACCTTTTACACATCATATAGCAAGATATGTACGTACCTTATCAAATAATAGGTAAGTAGTAAGTACACACGAGATAAATACCATTATCTCTGTTCTAGCACACAACACAATATATCCGATACAGGTATAAATAAGAGAGACATCTCGAACTCATTCAAACAAATACCACAAGAAATCAAAAATGAGAGACAAAACAAACATTTAAGTGTACCTAACTGGATTGTCTATAAAGGATATCGATTTTTAAGGACAGCCTGTGTCGGAAAGTGCAATTAAGAGATCAATGTCTCCTGAAGATAATGACTTTAATGGGCCAACATAGTAATAGTACATAGACTGAAAAATAATGAAATATATCAATAAAATAAAAACCTCTTGTGGTGAAATATTTCTAATAATAAATGTTCTTACCTGAAGAAATGAGCAGACACTAGTTAGCTGTTAGTAACACACCTTACATTTGTGTAAGTGTGAACAACTTTATGGATAATCACGTAGGAATGCATGCTGCAGGACGGATTAACTGATGATAATTTACAACAAGTGCGACGTTGTATGAATGTTATACTTACTATGTCTCGATTATTTCCGATGTAAACATATAAACAACTTCTTCTTACTGCTGTTCTATGTTGCAGGTTATCTAGATGGCGTTCAATCAGTAGAAATAGACATACGTATCACTGTGCTGTCTTAAAACTCTATTTTTTCCTGTTTATTATCAGGGGTTTGTAGACTGAGGAAAGATTCTGAGTTAATGTCGTCTTACAGCTGGTGTAGTTTATCTGATTGACCTAGTTCGGTAAATGTTATGTAATACATATGTGTACGTCTTCGGTCAGTTAATGAACCTACTATTCTACCGTCGGTATACCTCCAGCAGAATGTTGACAGAGCTTTATCTATTAACGATTTTTTAGGATTCATTGAAAGACTTTGTTTAAGATTTGTGAAAAGAATTATCTTTTATTTTCTACGTCAAAGTGTATTAACTTGCATATTGCTTCGAAGCACGTGTGGAAAATGAATAAAATATATTTCTATGTGATAAACACAGATTTCCATAATATTGTAATGATCAAGTTACATCTTTAGGACAGTTGTTAGTTCAAATGATCCATGAGATCAACTGAGATAGTACTTTATCGAAAAATACGAAAATTGAGCCCAACAAAAATGCAAGTTTTTTTAAAAGAAGAATCTGAAATATATTATTTTTTAGAACCTGATTATAGCTCTAAAAAGGCAAACTCCGTGATATATTTTGAAAATCAATTGAGGTGTTTAAATTAAAAACGCATTACAAACCTTCGTAAATGATAACTAATACCGACATAATTTTCTTAATATTCTTAGTAAATAATATTTCGTGCTCTGTATTATTTTTGATCGATAATCTACCTATACAAACTGATAAACATAATTACACACGTGGTACGGTTCTGTGACTCCTCATCCCTTAGGTCCTCAGGCTTGGCTTTGTAGGTACGGCACCATTTCTCAGAGGGTCCCTTTTTATATTAAACGAATATTTCTTTCATATTCCTTCCATTTCAATTATTTTAAGAATATACGTTCTCAGGTAGTGTCTGATGGAAAGGTTCAGGAATTGTCATGTATTTATAATACTCTCATATTCCGATAGCAATCTTTATGGTCCTGAGATTTACAATTAATTTTTCCTCTAGTGATGTGATCGATAATTGCATATCTAGGCATACCATATATAGCTTTTGATGACGCCAGATGTCTCTTAATATTGACCCGATGGCCGATAGTCATGTGAGATATATCGTGTTTGGCACAAACATATGTTGAGCTAATTACAACAATTGTAGTAAAAATGCAATGTGCAAACTTAAAATATTTCACAGTTAACTCTAGGTAAAAAAGTTACCCCGATCAACCCAAGATATTAGGGCTGGCGCAGCTTAGTTTCAACTGATAAAAAGCATAAGTGATAAAATGAAAAATAATTTAAAACCAAGGTTGTTGTTTTCCGCTTGTATTTTTTAAACAATTATGAGTAATATGTAATACTGAAGATACTTGGACACAACGATCATTTAATAGTTTCCCCCTAAAATTTTTGGACATATTTCATACCAATTTAAAGCTCTTCACCTTGATATTTCAAAATAATATATTTCGATGTTTCAAAATATCCTAATATTAAAAAGAATATAGCTTGAACAAAAGAACGAAATGTTATTCCATGAAAGGGTAATCGCAAAAAGAATATCTACAGGAGATGAATCACACAGTACACTTGACAGACGGTATGTAGATCGATCAGTACCGGAAACTGCTTTGAGAATAAAAAGAAACTGCCAAATTGTCAACAGCATCTTCATTCACATTCTAATTAGATGAAAATAAGATAGGTTACAAATATTTGTTTTACAGAAAACCCGGGAAGGTAAGGCCGCTCCTGCCTTCTTATGCGTTCTATCGAACATCAAGAACGCCAAACTTCATATCGTAGAAGGAAGTGGATATTTGATAGAATCGTTAGCTCATCAGAGGAAATCCATTAATCCAATAGAAAAATGCATCTATAAAGTCCTCTTGATAATGGTATTCTAATTTTGTTAAGGACATTTTACGTGAAATATATCATATTGGTGTTGAGAACAATTATTTATCTCTGGATCTGTTGGGAAAATTATTAACGGAAAATTACTCGATGTCTGTCTGGCTAAGGTGATTCGATTCGAGAAAAAGTTAGATAACATCTTTTGTGATGTGATATTATCAATTAAATTTTGTATGGGTGTTACATATCGTCTTTATTTCGTTCCGGATCGATATCTGCGCCATTGTGCAGGCTGATAAGTTGATAGACTATAAGGATGCTGATGGATGTAAATAACATCTCTAACTATTTATTTTAAAGATGATAAAATTATATATAATATCTAAAAAGATAATAAATATTTATAAACAAACAAACTACAAAAAGAAAACTACATGAGGAAATGTGAGCATTTAATTCAAATCAATTATAGAAATATTTAATTTTTACCCTTGCCAAAATTTCTGTATAAATAGTCTCATAAAGGTATTTCTCCTCATTCATTGAAACAGGACCACAAGACAGAACCATGGTAAGTTCACAATAACACCATACACATTCGGACACATAAAAAGTTGACTCGATTGTACTTTCGAATAATTATATTAATTATCATAATATGGAACTGTACGAGGGCTTTAAGTCATCTATGTTCTGATAATATCAATACAATTTGAAGAACGCTAAGTTGATCATGTCATTAACTTCGATACATTTTAATGGATCAATGATGGAACATTGCAAAGTACGTGAGATAGATAATCAAGGAGTGTAAGAACTTGGCTGGTCAAGCTTGCGGAGTACTGAGATAGATAATCAAGGAGTGTAAGAACTTGGCTGGTCAAGCTTGCGGAGCACGTGTGATAGATAATCAAGGAGTGTAAGAACTTGGCTGGTCAAGCTTGCGGAGTACTGACCAGCCAAACTCTTAATCGAGGGTTGAGATATCCTTGTCAATGGACCAGACCAATGCAAGATTCTATTCATCTGTAACCCTCTTAAATTGTTCGTATGGTTAAACATATTAGCTAATCCCGATTCTAACCTTTCACAACCAACGTAATGGACATTCTGATTCATCACGGTTTAGCGACATAATTCGCATTTTCGAATCAATAAATCATAAAACAGACGTAAGAAATTTCTCTCGTCCAGCACAAATCTTGGTCAACAATTTATAATTCTATTGACACTTAAATATTCTTAGAGCAACCATCTTAACTCTCCATATGCAAATTTATTCTAAAAAAGTCACATTTATACATTAATATCAATATTGAAAAAGAAATTTTATATTTCAATGCACTGCCTTCAGACTTGAGTAGAAAAAAGTATAAATATGTATGTAGATATGTATATATAGATATATAACTTTGGTTTTTTGTTTTACAGCAGAAAATATTAACAGGAAAGGGATTTAGAGTTATGTTGTCATTTATGGCTTTAGGAACTCTATGGGCAGCACCAACTCTTTTGAAAAGAGACACTACGATTCCATTGAATGACAACAAAATCTCCAATCACAGCTTAAAACATTTCAATCAAATCAGTACAACAGCAGCTTCACCAATTATTGACAGATACACCAATCCGAAGAGAGGATCCGCTTCCATTATCTTGAGTAGCGTTACTATACCTACATCAACAGCGACAACAATAGTCAAGACTTCATACAAGGAGGATGCTAAGAAGATCAGAATTGTGTCCTGTAATCCTCGGGATGTCGCAGAAAGATCTGTTTGTCCATGGCGTCTTCACTTCACTGAAATACCAGAACGTTCACCTTCTGTTTTGTATGAAGCACGTTGTCTCAGTAGTACACCAAAGAATATGTCTGGTAATAATATCCGGTGTGTTCCAGTTATAGTCTCCTTGAATGTGTCCTATACAAACAGCAGCAAGGTAGTAACTAAACAAGAACCTCATGCTGTTGGTTGTACGCCAGTCTTTCCATGTTGATGTAACTGACCTGGAAATATTTCCCCATGTGATATACTTCATCGATTGCAATGTTTGAAAATGATACTCACAATGTACCAATAATCAAACAATTATAGTATGACTTTAACTGTGGTGTGTACCATAATACGGCAGGGCTTACTGGTTCAAAAATGGATCACTTTGTATATTCATTCATTTAACAATGATATATGTTAATGACATCTAATGAATAAATGCACATAAACACCAAATGGGTTGATGTTTTCTTTTGTATTTTTTTTGTATTTTGTACTACAATGTCATATAACTGACAAAATTAGTGAAAAAATAACCTATCGAATCACAATACACAAGAATGAAAACTAAAACTCAGTGACAAAATACAAATTGAGCTAAAGTCCAAAAGTTAAGGGGAGCTATCGCGAACACTGACACTGAGAATAACTGAGTGTTATTGAGACAATATATATATATATATATACTGGCAAGTGTCATTGAATCGATTGATATAAGGCAAAGTCCCACTGAGCTGCTACAAGACCATGTTTCATTGAATCAATTGATATAAGACCAATAATCTCTAACTAACGTTACGTCGAGAATGAGTCAGTGAGATAAATTTCAATTTCTACTCATGTTATACTCATTGGAAATACCACTTTGATACTATGTCATTTTTCCATGTATTTGGCCTGATTAACATTGATCTGAATGTATGAGTACACCTTTTACATGTTCTATAAAGGGAGATAACCCTTACACTTTTATCAGATGCTAAACTTTAAATTAAAAGGTAATCAAATTTTGCCCCAGATTTGCAGAATATATATTGATATAGATACATGATATGTACAATAATCATCGAATAAATAATAATGTGACATTGTTAATTTACAAGACATACTTGTTTTCCGTATATTGATGTCTGCATGAGACATTACAAATGTCGTCGTCTGCTACAAAAGGGCAAACAATTATTTTTAATCTTCCACTGCCTGGAAATGACAATCTACTGAGCGATTCTGATACAGAACAACGTCTTATTTATGTTCTTGATGCCATGGACACCTACAGAGAAAGATGGTTTCGACCGCAAAAATCATAATGTTATAGAGTCATACGATTTTAATTCATCGCGATAAAAAGATACGACATGCTGACATTCAATGGCAGTTTTGATCTGACAAAATAGTCAATTATTGAAGACGTCA